GCGACGGTGAGTGACGTGGTGCTAACTAGAATTTATACAGATTTAAGAGCAGCAAGTGATGATTATGGTTTGTTGCACGGGACGGGCGACAATTAATTGAGAACATCGAGAAAAGCATAAGGGGCACATGTCAACATGTCTACGAAAAATCGTAATACAGAGCATCTAAAAGAATGGACAATAAAAGCATTACACGACACAAGTAAGAAGAAACCCAGGTTCTCATTCCATAACGAGTACAAAATTACAAACCGCGTTGAAATAAAAATATGAGAATACATCGTTGGACACCTAAAACTATTTTGGAGGAGCAGTGGCGGATGGAGCAGCGCCAGTCGACTGCGCAGCGGTGGCAGAGGACGTAGTTGATGATGCAATAGCAGAAGCCTGCGCCGCGGCAGTCGACTGGGCAGTGGCAGCCGACGACATGGCAGCAACAGTCGAGGGAGTGTTTGCAACTGTTGAAGCAAAAGCAGCAAACCCTAACTGAGCCGCCGTGGTCGACTGGACGGCAGTAGAGGAGGCAGAAGCGGTGATGGTCGAGTGCGAGGCGGCGGTCGAGGAAAGGGAGGCGCCAGCAGAGTGAGCGACAGTGGAGGCCGATGGACTGGAGATGGACGAAGGAGCGTTGGTGGTCAAAGGCTGTGGAGGAAGGAAGGCAACTGAAAGACGGATTAGGGGTGCCTCGCCTGGCCTGGGTAGGTCAAACGAGCTCTTCAAAGAAGGATCCCCCGCTAAGGTCCTCTCCAAAGAAGCGACCCACCAAGGATGGTCGGCGGGCAGATTGGGATCACCAGTGAAGCTAGAAGGAGCAGAGGGAATTGCTTCCCATGTTTTGTCCTGGTCCAGCTCGCCGGTGAACCCCATCTCCTTCAGTTGGCGCTCGACCTCCTCCATGCTGTAGGTATAGAAGTCCATCCCCATCTCAGCAGCCTCTTTGAGGAACGCGTCGAGCACAGATAATCTCGGATCAGCTGCTCCCGGTAGGCCTTGAGGAAATTCTGACCAACTTGGGTCCTCCACAAAGCTCGACGAGACTGCTCGATGGCAGTAATAGCAGCAGCCTCAACTTCTTTCTTTCGGCTGGCCCGCTCAACCTCAAGAGTTTTCTCTTTGCCTTGCAACGCCTCCTTGAACCGCTGCTCATCTCTCTTCATCTGCTCAGCTAAGGCATGGCGGGTCTTGAGCAGATCCTCATTCTCAGCCCTCAACCTCCGGTTCTCCTCCTCGAGACGCCTATTATCGCCCTCGAGCACAGGAATTGGGCGACCGGTGCTGTTCAGCGTTTCCTCGAGGAGAGGCACGACAGAGACCAAAGTCTGTGGCAAGAGTAAAAGTCAAGAACAACACGAAGCAAGGTGCTCGAAGATAAGGTTAAGGAAGGAAATATACCTGCGTCACCGCACGAACGGCATACTCGGCCTGATTCCGACGATTCACCCCCCAACGATGTGTATCGTCGAATGGTAAAAAGCTCATCAGCCGAGACACGGTCTCTCGGGGACCAGCCGACACAAGCGACAGTGAAGAATGTGAAAGAGGAGGATTCCCGGAAGAAGCGGCTTCAGGTTGTGGTCGCTTGGGGGAAGGAAGCGGGTTCGCGGAGTGGGAACCAGTCCCTTCAGTTCGAGGACGTTTTTTGGAGGCGTCACTCTCTTTTGTCGAGTGAGAGGAGTGACACACGGCTTGTTTAGGAGGAGGAGAAGGAGCTCGTTGCCTGCTCGAATGGGAGGAGGCGCCAGCACCAGGCTTCTCTAGTCGAGGGGAGCCATCTTTGGTCGAGGATGGGCCTTTGGGCTTCTCGACATTGGAAGAAGTATGAGCAGACCTCCTATCGCCAGTCTTCTTCAGGTCCGGCTTATGCAAAAATCCCTCTGCAAGAATGACGGAGTTGGTTAGAAGTCGCTCAATGATAATAAACAAACCCAAGGCAAGGCATGACGATGATTCGAGCACCTGCTCGAGCTGTCGCATTCACTTCAGCAAGCTTGGGGTTAACGCGAAGTTGAAGAATAGTTTCGGCGAGAGGAGGAGAGAACGCTTTATGAGTCAAAATGCCACAATAGTGGAGGAGGTTATCATTCTCGAGCATAGGGGTAGAAGCAACAGGGTTGGAGTTCCACACCTGTATGCGCCGGTCGAAGATGGGGTTTGCGGCAGGGCGAGCGGGTTTTATGG